AGCTGGCTGGAGGACAGCTGGTCTAGCCCGATCTCAGCTGGGAAGATTCAGCTCTCTCTGTTCCATACATACCTGCAGTAGTCTCCCTCCCTCCAAGCACTTAGCCTGGGCTTGTTTTCATGGTGGAGGCAGAGGTCCAAGTGAGAGAGCAGAATTGTACAAAACATCTTGAGGCCTAGGCTCAGAGCTCAGTTGCCTCCACCCTACTGTGTTGGCTAAAGCAAGCTGAAAGACCAGTTTGATTCAAGGAACACAGAAATGAACTCCAGCTCTTAAAGGAAAGGGTGCAAAGTCACATTGCAAAAGGCATGAGCAGAGGAAAGTGTAGAAGAGAGGCCACTTTTGCAATCAATCTACTGAAAGTCAATTACATAACCCTGTTGGTCACATCATCTCTGCAAGGGCACACAGAGACAGAAGGTGAATAGTCACACTATGGGACCACTTGTGAGTTGCCATTTTGCCATCAAGGCAGCTTTTGGTGCACACAGAGTTAAATCTGGATGGGTGTCTGGGAGTCTCCTCTCTACATGATTTGGTGTCCCTCTTTTCTGCCACATAGACCTTCTCTTTCTCACCCCTTGCCCCAGGAACCCTTGCTCAGACAAGCCACAGAGATTTTAGTTTCACAGAATTGCCCTGGAAGGGCAGCACTTAAGCCTTCTGCTCCTCCCCCAAAATGGGCTTGTCACACCATTCAGCTTCTTCCTGCAAAGTATCTACAACACACCCACATTTTCCCTGGCTGGCTGACACCTCTCAGAAGATGGCTTTATTGCTTTATTGCCCTAAACCACTTTTCTACCAAAGGTGAAGAGAGAAAAGAACCATAAAGTGAAGCTGATGGGAGGGGACTTTCCACTGGACTTACCATAAACAATTTTGAGCTCTTTTTGTTTTCGTGGTGGGGAGGGGGGGGGTGACAAGAAAGCAGATGACAGATGGGAAAGCCTCTTTGGAAATAAGGACTTATGTCCACAAAGCCCTGTGGTGAATTCTCCCAGGGCTCAGATTCTAGCGTGTTTATGGGTGGCAGGCTGCAGATGGGCCCTCTTCTCTCTGGAACAGTAAAAGCAAATGCCTCTTCCTCTTCCACCACTGTGTCAGGGAAACAATGGGGTCCTTTAACTCCATTGGTTCTTTTCCAGGCCAAATGATGACATCATTAAGGCATCTGATTTTCCCCTTACATAAAAGAAGATTAACGGCTAAGACCACAAGAGGAACTATTGTTTTGCCAGCATTGTTCAAATGTGTGGTTAAAATACTTTCTTTCACAAAACACAACACTGCCAGAGGTAACAAAAACCCTTCTGTAATGATGTGCCTTCCCTTCTTGAGCGAGACCACACACGAGAAACTGAGCCTTGCCCACAGTCAATGCCCCTGATTGTCCTGGGTCCCGATTCCTCTCCAGTAGCTGGAGCTGCCAGGAAATCAGAACTGTGTGTGGAAAAGCTAAGGTGAAACAAATCCATCTGGGCCATGGTCAGAACAAAAATTCTACTTGTCAAATCCTAAGGTCTTTTTAAAAATTTTATTTTGAGACGGAGTCTCGCTGTGCCACCCAGGCTGGAGTGCAGCGGTGTGATCATGGCTCACTGCAGCCTCTGCCCCCTGGGTTCAAGCAATTCTCCTGGCTCAGCCTCCCTAGTAGCTGAGATTATAGGCACTTGCCACTACACCTGGTTAATTTTTGTATTTTTAGTAGAGATGGAGTTTCACCATCTTGGCCAGGGTGATCCTGAACTCCTGACCTCGTGATCCACCAGCCTCAGCCTCCCAAAGTTTTAGGATTACAGGCATCAGCCACTGCGCCTGGCCAATCCTAAGGTCTTAATCCATAAAGAGAGTCAAGGATGGTGAAATTGGAAGCCTTGAAAGTGTCACGGTGGATGGGTGACTTGCACTTTCTCAGCTGGATTCCATGCCCTTTCTCATCAATGATGAATGACGACACCATCTGAGAAGCAATCGAGAAAGCTTATTTCTGAGATTATGATTCCAATCTGTTCATTATGTTACCTGTCCTGGGGCCTCTGGCATTTTCCCAGCCGTGAGCAGAGCCCCCTCTCCATTCTACGGAGTCCTTGGGTCTTGGAGTTGTTGACAGGAATTTGCCAAGGTCTGGAGGAAATTGGGTCCCCATAGGTGGCTTCCCCACATGGACAGCCATCTGCGACAGGATGAAGAATCACTTCTTCAGGCTATCAGATGCTTTGGTCCTTGGGCTGCTCCTAATATTTTTTCCGAAAAGCTAACACAAGATGGGATGCTTCCTCCCTCTTTTAAGTAGACTTGGCAAGGGCCTTATTGTTCATATAAACAACAGTGAGAAAAGCTATCCATGGCTTTTTAAAAAATCCTTTGCCCAAATCAATACAATTGTTTCTGTTCTGAAACCCAGTGTATTAAATTGTGTGTACCAGTGTTGTCCAATGGAAGTTTCCAGAATGATGAAAATATTCCATGCTGTACTACCCCACATAGTACTCGCATGTGGCTAGTTAGTAGTGCCTGACCTATGGCAACTGCAACTGAGGAAGTGACTCTTAAATTTTATTTTATGTAATTTAAATGTGAATAGCCACGTGTCATCTACGTAACTTTTACAGTTATGCACTTTCTTATAAAGTTTAATATACACTGACATATGACCCGGCAAGCCAATTCCTAAGTATTTATCCAAGAGAAATTAAGGCAAACAAACACACAGAGAATCGTATGCAAATGTTTGTGGCAGCTTTATTCATAATAGACAGAGATAAGAAACCACTCAAATGTCTATCAGATGAGGAGCAGAAAAACAAATGATGGTATAGCCATGTAATGAAATATTACCCAAAGATAAAAAGAAACACACTTCTGATACACAGCAACAATTTGCTAAATGAAAGAGTGTCTAATTATATGATTTCACTTCTCTAGAGAAGTCAAAACTACAGAAACAGAAAGCAGAGCGGTATGCTGGGAGCAGAGGGGAAGGAAGAACCACCAGGAGGCAGAGGGGACTTTTTCCAAAAATTGACACATTCTATTTCTCGAATATAGGAAGTGGTGGTTGCCTGACTGTCTACTGTCTGCTGTCACAAGGCTCATTGAGCTGTATACTTAGAAAGGGTGACTTTTGGTGAGCCCTGGATGTTGCTGTGGAAACGACTCAACCAGTACCCCTCAGGACTCGTGAACCGCCACATACCATCGTGGGAGCCTGCGTATGGTCCCCTGTGCCGGCCCCACCTCTACTCCCACGGAGTTCACCTGGCCACATCAATAGGACTGTGGCTGTTGCCTCCTCCTTCAGGGCCAGACTCTGCCCAGCCAAGTCGACTTAGGTGCTCCTCTTTGCATTGCTGTTGGGTGGAAATAACCCTTTCCCGGCAGTATAGACGGTGGCCTGCAGGAGAAGATGCCCTTTCTGTATTTCCGTAAGGCAGGAAGTCATGATGCAACTTAACGCATTTTCATCAGATTTCCTCCGATATCCTCTGAAGTGTGTGTGGGAATGATGTGTACTGCCAAGAAGCATGGGATCTGATTCCAGCCTCCAGCTAGTATCCTCATCTATGAGAATGAAATCAAGGGGAGAATGTGCTTGTGCATTCTGCCAGTTCAAAAGTTTTCAAAGTTTTCAGATTGCACCCAAGCAGCTGAACAGCTAAAGAATAACCCACGACTTGTTACTTGTAACAGGGATTCCTGAGGCAGCTAGAGAAGCTATCCAATTTTTTATGAGGTTACCTGTGGGGGCAGAGTTTGGCAGAAACAGTGGAACAAATTTGACTGGAAACAACCATTGATCCTGAATACACTGGATGACGAGGAGCTCGCCAAAAGGAAAAGCATCATGGATTAACTTTTTGAGAAAAACCAGAAGAAGGATGATTCAAATTTTGTATATGACATTGAGGTCAAACTCCCACAGGATGAACAACTGTAGTCCCGTGGCTGGGACACAGTCAGCTCAGGAGTTCCGATGCGAAGCACTCAAAAAGTTTATTAGGCTAGCAGAATATTCAGGTTCATATAAATAATATTGATTTGTTCTGGAAAAATCTTTACAGAACACTAAGGTGTATATATTGAGTCATGAGGGGACTGACTATGTTACTTTTCAAAACCAGGACAGAGTATCCACTATGTAGGTGCACGAGGAAAATAGGAAAAATGGAATAAAGGAATCTGCCGTTTTTTTTTCTTTTTTGAGACAGGGTCTTTCTCTGTCACCCAGGCTACAGTGCAGTGGTGAGAGCTCACTGCAACCTCTGAATCCTGGGCCCAAGCAATCCTCCCACCTCAGCCTCCCAAGAAGCTGGGACTACAGGCGTGTGCCACTACACCCAGCTCATTTTTTTTTTTTTGTAGAGATGGGGTTTTGCCTTGTTACCCAGGCTGGTCTCAAACTCCTGGACTCAAGCAATCTGCCCACCTAGGCCTCCCAAAGTGCTAGGATTACAGGCATGAGCCATCGCACCTGGCAGGAATCTGCCTTTAAGGAGCCTATCATCTGATTGGAAGATGTCAAAAACTTGTGAAAAGGTAGTTAGCAGTATGGGGCAACCTAAAGATTGGAGCCAGATGCTTGACAATGGCTAAAGAAGGTCAGATGGCCCAGATGACTGTAGAGTAGAAGAGCAAAGGAAGATTTTGTCCTTTAGTGAAGAGATAGGACTTTGCTGGCCCTTGAAATGATATTTGGATAGAAGTTGTGTAGGATTCTAGAGAAGAGCAACTGAAAAGAAGGGGAGCAGAGATAGTAAAGAGAATATATATAAGTGTATATGTGTGTGTGTGTGTGTGTGTGTGTGTGTGTGTGTGTATTTATATAAATGTATATGTATTTAGGAACAGTAAGTAAATTATAGTTTGACAAGACTGGGGTCAGGGTCGATCTGGTTTGGCTGTGTCCCCACCCAGTCTCATCTTATAGTTCCCATAATCCTCACATGTCGTGGGAGGGACCTGGTGGGAAGTAATCAAATCATGCGGGTGATTTGGCTTTGCTCCATGCATCTTCCATGGCCAAGGCCTCTTCTCCTCCAACACCTGGGGGCTAGTGCCCTACTCCAAGCCCATCACCACTGTTGTGGGAGAGCCCATCACCATCCCCAAACCGGAGCACCCGACCCAGCAGGACATCGGGTTACCCTTATGCTGTTCTCATGATAGTGAATGAATTCTCACAAGATCCGACGGTTTCATACGGGGCTTTTCCCCACTTTGCTTGGCACTTCTCCTTGCTGCTGCCATGTGAAGAAGGACATGTTTTCTGCCCCTTCCACCATGATTATAAGTTTCCTGAGGCCTCCCCAGCCATGCAGAGCTGTGAGTCAGCTAAGCCTCTCTTCTTTAAAAATTGCACAGTCTTGGGTATCTTCTTCATAGCAGCGTGAGAAGAGGCTAATACAGGGGCTATATTTGGTTACCAGGGAATTATCTTTTTGTGTATTTAATTCTGGAGAAGTCTCTGCAAAATGCCTGCAGCTGCAAGTAGATGTCACTTTATGGACAGAAGGGGAATTCTGTCCCTCGGGTGTCAGGAAACATACATTGAAGACATTCTGAAGCCCTGGACCTTCTCCCATAAATAACACGTTTGTTTATGAAATGGGAAATCCTCCTACAATAAATGAACAATAGATATTGTCAGTTTAGGGCTACTCAGGACTTTGAATCTACAAGCGAAGATCTTTGTTTAGCATGGTTATCTGGGATTTCACACATCCATTCTTACTGTAATATTGCTTACTTGCTAGAAACTCTGTTTTCTATAAGAAAATTAATATTCATTGAATAAAGCTATAAAAACAATTTTTAAAAATTGGTGAATTTTATTGTGTAAATTATACTTCCATAACGTAGCTTTTAAAAACTCTATATAGCTTTTAAAATGAAAATTAGGAAATTCGTTTCCTTCAAGGTTCACTCTTACTTCTCTTTTCACCTACATAAATGACCAGGGCAAACACTGAAAGCCAAGTTGTAGGTACCATCAGCAAGCCAGCCAGTGAAATGAAGCCCTCCCGGATCCGTCAGGTCCATGATTTGAAAGAAAGCATATAATTTTCCAAGAAACCACGTGCACCCTTGAAGCTATAGTTCCATGCATTACCATGAAGTCAGGCTGACGCAAGACAAGATCGTCTCATGAGCCGCTTTTGCCCTCTCTGAACGGAACGCTTCAGGACCAGTGTAGACGCAACACTGGGACAGAGACAAATGCCCTGGGGAAATCCATCACCCCCAGTCTGGAGCAGGAGGCAGGGACGGAGCCAGCCAGTCCATGCCAAGATCACCACTGAGCACAGCCGCGGAGCAGTTAATCCGCTGTGCTTTGAATGCTCACAGCACCCAGCATTGTGAAGTCAGAAAGGGATCAATTTTCATAAATACGAAGAACCTCAGTTTGAAGGATAAGACTGAACCCATTAGACTCCTGGAGAGGCACATTCTTAGTGAAGGGTGCACAAAAGCATTGGATCTTAGCTATAAAGATTGCAGGAGAGCAAACACTCCCAGGAGCAGTGAGGGGCTGTCTACCAGCCCTAACTCAGAACCTCAGGATCATTACTTATCCCGTGATGAAGCTCTTACTCCCTGTCACCAGCTGTTAGCATCCAAAGGTGGAATGAGAATTCCTCACACCCGGAATGACGTCCAATCTGGAGATGTCTCCTGCCAGGAAGAGTGTCCTCACGGAAGCCACCCTCCAAGTGTAAGCTTCAGGGACGGTGGCTGCTGAATGCACAGAAGGCAGGCGGGGGAAGCTGCCTGTAAGAGTCAAAGCACCTCACACATGGCTTCACCCCGTTTCCTCCTGAGACTCCACTAAAATACAGCAAAGGTTTTCACTTGTGTCTTTTGTTTTATTCTTTAGTCATAAATCTCCGAGGGCAAACAGAACAGAAGACAAGACAATAGCAAAAGCGATTTGCAAGCCAAAGGGTAGCAGGACCAGTTCCAACTGACTATCCAAAAATAGAACACGGAATCCTAATTTAGCAACTAAATTTCAACCCCAGAGAGCCAAGAAGCTCAGGGATTGGTGGCATCCAGCACCCTGGAAGGAGATGAGGGTGGGCTAAACACTAGAGGAAGAGTTGAAAGTCAATTAAAAGTACAGAGACTCCCAGATCTCCTTACTTTGCCCACCAACCAGATGACCTCACCTCCACCCTGGCGGAGACTAGAGGAGCTGCTGGAGGGGGAACAGACAGGCTCTGGTACGGGGGAAGCAGTACCTCGGGCCAGAAGCACCGTCCTTAGGGTGCGCAGGGAATAAAAGGACATCCGCTCTGCTTCTGCCAGGGGGATCCCAGAACCTCAGCCCTTGAGCTTCTAGGAATGAGTTTGCTGGAGTCTGGGAATCTGAATCAACATAAGAACGTAATTCCACAAATTGAACAGCTCATGCAGAACACCTAGAGAAAGTGCACTTTTTGTTTTTTGGGGTTTTTTTTTTTGGTTTTGGTTTTTGAGAGATGGAGTCTTGCTCTGTCACCCAGGCTGGAGTGCAGTGGCATGATCTGGGCTCACTGCAATTTCTGCCTCCTGGGTTCAAGTGATTCTCCTGCCTCAGCCTCCCGAGTAGCTGGGATTACAGGTGCCTGCCACCACACCTGGCTAATTTTTGTAGTTTTAGTAGCAACAGGGTTTCACCATGTTGACCAGGCTGGTCTTGAACTCCCAACCTCAAGTGATGTGCCCACCTCAGCCTCCCAAAGTGCTGGGATTATAGGTGTGAACAAGTGCACTTTTATCAAGACCCATCTTCCTACAAGGAACACACACAGAAAACACAGGAAACAAAAAGTTAAAAAAATAAAAAATAAAAAAAACTATCAAAATTCCAGCAAGGACTAAAGAGCAAAAATATAACGCTTTTAAAAGAGCAATGTAAGGGAATAACAACAAGCCTTCTGAAACTTTTTTAAAAAATAGAAGAAGACAGGAGAAATGTAACACTTAAATATTTTGAAACTAAAGTTTAAACAATTTTCCAGATCAAAGAAGAAAGGAAAGAGATGGAAGTCAGGAGAGAAAAGAGAATTCTATAACCAGTTCAGGAGTAACATCCAAATAATGGGAGTTCCAAAAAAGAGGTCGGTGAATGTGGTGAATGGGTGAACACAGTTAGAGAGAAGGAGTAAGTTCTCCCACTCCATAGCAAAGGAGGGTGACGATGGTTAACAGCATCTTATTGTATGTTTCAAAGTAGCTAGAAAAGATTTGAAAAGCTCCCAGCACAAAGAAAGGATAAATGTTTGAGGCAATGAATATTCCAGCTAACTTGATTTGATCATTACACACTATAGGCATGTATCAAAATATCACACGTACCCCCATACATACGTGCAATTATTACATGTCCATTAAAAAAAAAAAAGGAATAAAAAACAAAAGAAGAAGACAGAGGAGGGCAGGAGGAAAGTCCAGAAGTGAAGTACAGGAGTTTCCAAAGGGCAGGGCCAGCCAGTGCACAGCACAATAGATGCAAATAATCTCCCCAGGACACTTTGCCTTGGAAGTTACCAACACGGTGGACAAAAATAACACCTTCCAGCTTTCAGAAAAAACAGGGACAGCTTCAGACAAAGGATCCAGAATCGGTGTGCACTTTGAACTTGGCAAGAGCAATGCTGGGACAATAGAACAGTGTCTTCAAGACTCTGAGGAAAGGTGACTTCCAGCCTAGAATTCTATAGCCCTCAGTCTGAAGAGAGAGAAATACATTTCCAATTGTCTTGTGCAGAACACCAGTGAAGATGTGCTCCACTGAGTGGAGGGAACAGAGCAGGCAAGACAGGGCATAGAATCCAGGAGTATGTGTGTGTGGGGTGAAATGTTGAGAATACAACAACTATACAAACAAAACCTGTGAAGCGTGACTTAGGCTCTTCATCCTCCAGATCCTAGTGTTAACTGAATTCTCCCTGGCTTTCCGCTGCTGAGAGTAGCTTCCAGGCCTGGAGGCCTCTCAAAGTCCCCTGTATGTAAGAGTCAGCTGGCTCTGAGCATCCCAGCATCCCCAGGCCTCTCTATCCACTCTGGGCAATGGGCAATGTCCTGGGTAACTCCTGATTGTGAAGAGGGAGAAGGCAGAGCTTTTTGGTCATATGTAAAGTCCTCTTAGGATGAAAGGAGAAGATCCTATGACATCTTGGTTTTCTCTGTGAAGTTGGATGCGGGGTCGTCAGGAAGAGCTGGGAAGGGGACGTCGGGCTGGCGCATGGGGAGAGAAGGGGACGTTTGCAACAGCGGGAGCTACCTGGGGAGGGGCACACACTGGTGTGCAAGCTGCTGAGAGGCCTGAGCCGCATATGGAGTTGGGGATCGGGGTCTGTGGCGCTGGGGTGAGTTCCTGCAGCCCCACTCAGCATCGGTGTGGGAAATGCAATATGAGCTGCTGGGCGACTGAAGACAGGGATGCTGTGGGGCCGTGAGTCCCTGCAACAGGGCAAAAGGTGAAAACTGGGCTAGCAGCAGTAGGAGCAGGAGCAGGACTGGGGCCAAGGCCGGGCTCCAGGAGGACAGAGCAGCATGGACAGAGGGAGGCGGAAGGATAGGGGCCTGCGGCGTGAGGCTCCCACTGCATGCTTCAGCATGAGCTGCCGTGGGTGCTGGGTGGTGGGGGGCAGCATGGGGCTCCAAGGGGAGGAATCTGGGATGTGCATTTAGCCAGGAGCAGGCTGATCTCCCGTACCCCATCTCTAGCTCGACCCCAGGCAGCAGCTCTGGCAGGTCAAAAGCCTGCAATAGACAGAGAGGGGCAGGTCCTGGAGCTGTTTGGAGATTCAGTCCCAGCGAGATGGCCAGGACCACATGGCATGGTGGTTTGTCACATTAGAAAAGAGTGGGTTCAGGGGGGAGCCAAGGGAAACTGCGTTCCGGGAAAGACCTGGGACAGCCCACGGGAGCTGGGAGGAGGAGAGGGATTCAAGCTGGGAGGAGGAGAGGGGTTCAAGCTGGGAGCAGTTGGGAGAAAGATGAGACGAGGCAAGGTTGGGATATCTGCGGACAGGCCGGGCCTCATGTAAGCAGGCTCCGGAGAGGAGGCGGGGAACACGTTAGCAGGTAGCCTGGGTCTCAGCATCCTCACACACAACGCTTCCCCCAACCCGGGCTCCACACAGAGTCCTCCCCCAACCCGGGCTCCACGCAGA